TCTATTCTATTCTATTCTATTCTATTCTATTCTATTCTATTCTTTGCAAATACCAAAAATTACGTGTACAAAAAAGATATCCAAACCTGACATTTATTTCCCAGAAGAAAAGAATGGCAAGAGCCAAAATAACACATCTACCATTTTCAAAGTTGAAATCCAACAGTCTTGATGGACAGCTATCATAACTTTCCATTGTAGTGGTTCATTTTTAAATACCGTAAGCTCTTTTTCCTCATACTGATTTCAACAGGAGGAAAAATACAGCAGATTCATTCAGGGTAATGTAACTGTACACTTATTTATTAAAATTCTACATTGCCCATCTCACCTAAATGACCTATCAACACCACAGCTTTCCCCGTTATGCCAGAAGTGATGGGGAGTGTTGTTGGCAATTATAAATATGTACTGATGTCACTTATTAATTTATCCTTGAAAAGTAAATCCTGACCTGCATGTTCAAGTCTCTTCTATGACACAAAGCCTGCATAATTTCTATTGGTTCAAGGGAAGCCCCAGTTTTCATGAACTAATCTGGTAAACTGTGGGGGTCATAAAAGCAACACTGGTCTACATCTTTACATTTATATGCTGTAGCATAGATGAGACAATTCCACATACAGTAGAGTGTTTTTAAGTCTCTGCAATACAGTTTGCCTTTCAATCAACATTTGATATTAAGATAGCAAAAGTATGGGGAGGGGTTTTTTTTTATATAAAAGGCTTTAACATTTTCAATTTTCTGCACCATTCAATATGGAACTACATTACTTTCCTGTTAGGCAAATCATTAGAAAGCTATGGAAATTATGACTTATCATGCATTAATTTTATAATTATCTAAACAAATAGCTATTTAAAAGGAATTTTCTTGGCTAAATAGATCACATCCCTTTTTTAAAAGAAAAAGAAAAGGAGAGGAGAGGAGTTAGTAATTCAGGATTACAATTTTATAAGCTTTGTAGAATAAATGAACTGGCAAGCCACACTTCATTGGTTTTGATGCAGTTTTCCACTTATAAAATATGTGAGACTGTTTGTATGGCAATCCTTTTTAAATTATGTAAGAGGCATAGAGGCTGGTGTGAAGGCAGGTGACTGATAGGAAGTGCTGAGCAATGGAAAATATGCTTATGACAACATGGAGAAATTTTAAAAGATGGTTGTCCAGGCATGAAGATCAGGAGTTGTGGAGTATGTCCTCTTCCTTAGGTTGCAGTTATTTTCTGTGAAAAAAAGAACACCAAGCACATGGCCAATTCTATCTGCCAAGATGCTGAAAATTGGAATATTCTGGTTATCTGCCCTAGAAAGGCTGATTCTCCAGCAAATACACCTGCCCAATCAAAATAGCTATTAGGTATTGCCAAAAGGTGCCTTTTTATCTTTTCATTGTCACGGAATGAATATTTAATATTTAAGATGTTTCATGATTGTGTTTTATAGCACAAAAGACCAAGTCACCCAGTATTATTAAGCAAGTAAAACCAACTCTGTGCATTTTTAATGACTCAATCTCAAGATGCAAAATGATGCCCTTTAAAAAAAACAACAGATGCTCATAAACTCAACATTAGTTATAACTGCCTTGCTGTAGAGCTGAAGACATGAAGAGACCCTAGAATACTTCAATATCAATCTCCTGAAATGGAAAAGAAGCAGCCTTTAGAGCACTCACACAAAACTCTAGAGGAAACACTCCAACGCCACTATAAAATGCACCATGCACCAAGGGAAACCTTTTCAACCCAATGTCCATACAGATTGCCTACCTCTGGTGTGGTCTCCACGTGTGCAATATTTTCCACTTCTTCAGTTCAGCGATACACGCTCTTTTGTATGACTCCCCCCACCAATCCCAATTACAAGAGATGAAAACTCTCATTAGTCAGCTAATTGGTAGGGGAAGAAATGCAGAATATCTACCTGCTAGCCTCTTCCTTAAACGTAGACTTCAAACTAATGATCAAGATAACAGTTTGCACAGTTTTAATGGAAGGCATTATTTCCTGTTTACCTCAGAAGGTGGACAAATTACCTGAAGGGGTGAATCCAGGAGAAGAGGATGGGAGGGAGAAACCATCCGTCTGCTAATCCTCTCAGTGTCATTCAGAATCATCAACCAAAATATTTCTGTGAGATATTTAACTAACATATGATGTGGGGCTACCATTATGCAGTGGTTCTGGCCCTGTTCTGTTGAACATTCTTATTCTGACTATTGCAGAACAAGACAACTGGAATTGTGGACAGGAGCACACACTATTGCTGCAGATTTCAGTGCAGCTAATAACTACTAAGCTAGGGCAGGCTGTTCTCTTTTAAAAAGGGACAACTTTCTGCATAGCTCTGACAGAGGAAAGGGAGAAATTTTGGATGGCTATTTATTTGTTTATTTCTTTATTAATCAAATGTACATCAATTGCACAAATACCAACTCTGAGCGGTGTACAACAATGAGATAAAACAGCAAACATAAAAAGAGATAAAAATATAAAAAAAACATATAAGTAAATATCCTCTAAACCAAAAAAACAAAACTTAGGTGAAGGGAGGATAAAAATGCCCCCCTCAATAATAGAGCTATCTATGCAGGTCTCCAGTTCCTAGGACTCCCAAGCCTGATAATATAACAAGCATTTTCAAAATATTAAAAAGGGTGGAGCTGATTTACTGTTTCTTTTTGAGGGAAGAGGATGTTCCATAAGGTGGACATCACAGCAGAGGAGGCACATCTCCTGGGACCCACCAAATACAAGCCCCTAGCCAATGGTACCTGCAGCATGCCTTCTCTGACAGATCTAATGAGAGATTTAACTATAGCAGATCTCAGTACAAAAAATGTTACACTTGAGATCTTATTTTGGGCATACTGTTTAAATTGAAAAATCCTTCATTGTACCCCATGCTCTTCTCAGTGCATGTTGGAAACAGCAAGAGCCTTTCTTCTGGGTAGGAACAGTACAGCTGACTATCAGGCAGAGATTTAAAAAGGAAGGGCAATCAATTGTTATTTGGATACCCTTTTGCTCCCCACACACCCTTCATCTTCTGGTACCAATTGTACAAGGTGAACCCACCCAGGCAATGAGCTGAGACTATTTCCTACTAAAAACAGTTATAACAACAACAACAACAACAACAACAACAACAACAACAAAAGTATGTCCTCAAAAAGGCAACTGCTATCACAACCCTGAGCTAGCTAACTTGCTCATTGATTCACCTGACACAAACCAAATCAGCTCTGGTCTATTTATTTTTCATCTGAGTCAGCAAGCAAAATGCTGCTGCATATGGCAGATGAGAAGCAAGAGACAACTTGACTTGGGTATCTGACAGGGATAGGATTTTCTGCAGTTTACTGCAGGCTTAAAAACTGCAGGATTATGCTTTCAAAGCACCATATTATTCACCCTTTAGATAGCAAACCTCTACAGGGCATTATCCAGAAAGATGTATGAATACACCAAGAATATGATGCACAGCATCCGATTCCATGATTCTATTTTTTTCCCAAATGCTAAAGATGAATGTGCTTTCATATATAACCAGAACAGCACCATTGACATATCAGAGCACTTTTAGAAGGCTTAGGAAAGCCCCAAGATGTGTATAAAACCTGCACAGGGAGAGGAGGGGGGGGACAGAAACCACCCCCCCCCACATTTCCTTGCTCATCCCTAGAGAAAAGCCTGCCAAGGAAAAACATTATTGATGATCACAGAATGATAAATTACTACTGAATAAAAGTGGATGGAAGAAAGGTTGGGGTTGTAACCTGTTTGCTTTGCTACCATTGGTGGATCTGGGGATGCGTGGCCATGCTGGTGGTAAATCTGACTGCTGCTGGTGGTGGAGGGGTGAATGGATCCGAGGATGGCAGTAGATCAGGACAACATTCCCTTTCCATTTGAACAGATTAACAAATCCATAGTTTTCCGCCTCTTGCGCACACATACAGCCTTCCCATAATTCCTTGTCCTACACTGCAACTCAGCTACATACTTGGACGTCAGCTACTCTATTGTGGGAAAAGAAATTCTACTAGTTCAGCTCTTACTTGGACAATATCACCCTCTTTTCTGCCAAAAGAACAAGTGTGGCTGTGAGCTTCATTTTTCTAGAATCCTTCCACTCACTCCAGCCTGTGCCAACAGTATGAATATTTCCAGCCAATCATAGATGGACCAGAAGAACTGATACTTCCACATTGAGTTCAGTTTCCCCAAACGTAAGCCATGCTTTCAGCCCTCCAAACCCTCTGGTAGGAAAAGGCAACATGATTTGACTAGAAATCCTTGGATCTTCACGAGAATAAAAAAGGATTCACAGGCAAACACAGCTGGAGCCATGATGTTTTCCAGCTGGCCATTTGTGTAATTCTTTTTCACAGCAACTTGCTGTTTAACATGCTTAGAGAAGCAATGGAATGCGAGAGCCATCTCCACGAAGATAATTCTGTCCTCAGAATCACACACGTGATGCCTAAACTTGCAGAACAGGACTTTCTGGATAACACAGAGGAAGAGTTATTTAGGTGCACTTTTACCCCATCACAACTGCTTCATAATTCAGGAATAGGACATGCCAAAGCCTCTCTAGAACATGCATGTAATAGATCTCCAGCGTGTATGAAAGAAGGCGAAACAAATGAAGATACACAGAGAAAGAAATGGAATGCTAAAAAGGCAAAATCAAATTCTAAAAACCACATGTCACATCTTTAGATTGTGCAAGCAAAAATTTCATCTTCTATGAATCATTTATATATTTAAAAAGAAGACTATCAAGAATTGAAGATGTCTTTAAAGCAAGAGTGACTCAGAACCAGTTAACTATTTTTTTTTAATTTGTGAGAGGAGTTTTGGCAAAGCCTGCTGTTTTAAGCAGATTTGCTGGGAAGGTGGTTTGACTAGTGTCCGATGGCAATTAGTTCTGTGTTTAGGGTCTTCTGCAAGAGCCAGTGCAGTGGAATATAATCCAACTATTCTTACCATTTTCATCAGGGGCCTTGCCTTTTCCATTTGTTGCTCCAGCACCTTGTCTCTGAGAAAGAAAAGGAGGAAAAGAATATTCATTAGTAGTTTGTTACAAGCTATATTAGAAAAAATACATTGTTATGAACCTAGTACCCATTTCTGTTCATACTCGGCATCAGTGTAGTGTGGTTGTGGTCTGAAAATTCTTCTCTCTCTGTGAAGATTTCTGTGTTTCAAATTCTTTGGCCTTTGTTCCTATGGCTGCCAATCAAATTCTAATGCTCTCTAGCAATTGTTACTCTGAGCCTTAATGTGACCTTTCAATGTAGGAAATAATACAAGGCTTCGTGATATATTTATTTCTAAAATTTGTTTAATTCGTCTGAAAGCCATCTAAGTTGATCGCCACCATTACCTTTTCTGTTAAAGAATTCCATAACTATACATGGTGCGAAAAACTATTTTCGTACATCTGGCTGAAACTCACACTATTTAGCTTTCTTGGATGGACTTACATTCAAAGATTATGAGATAGAAAGCTATTTCCTACCTCCCTGTGTTGTATTCCGTCATATTCATCTGGCAAAATTAATTTTGATTCCTTTCCTAATAATTCCCAGACACCAATATGAGTTTCTGCCTTTTCACTGTAGCTACATACTATATCAATATTTTCAATGAATCTTTCTTGCTCCGGTGTGAATCATGAAAAGAACTGACTGAAAGAGGACACTGTTTTGATCAGAGGTAGCTCACATTGCAAATCATCCCTTGCTATTCAGTAGCTTTCTGAACTGGGCCTGCAGAAATGAATTCAATATCCTTTCTGACATGTCTAACCCCCCGCCCTCCTCAAATTTTTATTGGATCAGTGCATAGGAGAAAATAGGTTGATCTGTTGATTAGTATGAAGAATTATTTCATGTTTCAACAATTGAAGGGAAAATCAAAACAAGAGAATGGCATTGCAATAAAAGTATAGGAACTTTTCGATCAAAACTGAAGGGAGCTAGTTTAAATGAGCAATATTTGTACAACAAATAAAGCTGGCACTATGTGTTGCTGAAGATAATCAGCAATTACTAATGCAACCATTTTCTTTCAGTTCAGAGGCCAGCTGCATCTAAGACTCTCAACAATGACACTGCTGTTGCAATTAGTGTTGGGCTAATATTGGAAAGAATCAGATTTCCCCAACTACAGCACTATTCATTGACTTCAGATCCATCCATAAAGGATGGTGTGAAAAGAGGAGAAAGCAACGGATACTGCCTGAATGTCTTGGAAGCCAGCAATACAAACATGTAGTTAAAAATAAACGTTTAAATCTT